CTACTCCCGTAAAGATTTACACCCTCGGAAACCCTGTACAGGGTCGCTATGGGTCGGACCCGACTCGATGGCACTTAACAACAACAACAACATGGATAAGAGTATTTAGAAAGAATACCTAAATTAAATGGGAAAGACTTCAAAAGGTCTTCACAAGAATATTTTAGATGTGCTACCATATGAAGTGTGATTCCTTTTGGCTCCAGGCCTTCAGGCATACTTTTCCCTCTCTAGCTATTTCTCTTCCTGTCTCATCTCACCTGCTCCTTCCCAGTTCTCTTATCTGTTTCTTACAGTGATTCAATCTAAGCTTTCATTGATTCCTTTTGACTCCCCTAGATCCTTAATTTTTTAGTATGTATGGCTATCTGCTTTGGCAAAAGAATGAAGGAAGAGACAGAAACAAAGGAAAAAAGTCAGTGGTTTTCTTGCAGTCCAGTTAGAAACAGTGTTATTAGGAATGGTGGAAATAAAAAGATGAGCTAGAGTAGAGAAAATAAACCATATGACTTGTGGGATGTTATATGATATGAAAGTCTTGCACTTGGGTTGTGCTTTAGTACTATAAGGACTAAAAGTATATAAAGGGACTTCAAAAATTTATAGAAAAATTACATTTTAATTCCATTTTTTCACAAACTTTTTTTCATCTGTCAGACAAACTCTTGTTTTGTTGTACTTTGGTGGTTCCCATGTTTTTGAGATGCTGGAAGCAATACCACTGGCATTCAAATATGAGCAGGGTCACCAATTGTGTACAGGTTTCAGGAGATCAACCAGACTGGAAAGAAAAGCCAAACCAAAGCCCACTGCCATCTAGTTGATTCCATTAGTGACCCTATAGGACAAAGTAAAACTGCTCCCTAGGGTTTCCAAGACTGTAAATCCTTATGGGAGCAAACAGCCTCATCTTTCTCCCATGGAGTGATTGTTGGGTTTGAACTGCCAATCTTGTGGTTAGCAGTCCAGTGCTTAAACCACTACACTGAAAAGTAAAAGGACCTGGCAATCTACTTCTTAAAAAATTGTCAAGTGAAAACCTTATTAGTAGCAGCAGAATATTGATATTGTGCCAGAAGATGATGGACCCCTCAGGCTGGAGGACATTTAGAATATGGCTGAGAAAGAGTTGCCTCCTCAAAGAAGGGTCAATCTTAATAATGTGGATAAAGTAGAGTTTGGGGACCTTCTTTGCTGATGTGGCATGACTTAAAAAGAAACAGCTGAAAAATCCATTAATAATTAGAACATGAAATATGTGAGGGTGAGTAAAAAATTATCTGTACTCTGGCTGTAGAGATTATTTTAATCAACTTTAGAAAAGAAAAATACATCATTTTCCAACATAATCTCCTTGCTTTTCAATATGTTTTGCCCATCTGTCAACAAGCTTTTGTATTCCCTTATCCAAAAATGTTTTAGGCTAAGCTGTAAGTCACGAATGCATCGCTGTCTTTACTTCTTCATCAGAGGTGAATCTTCATCCTCGAAGGACTGCTTTTAGGGGACCAAACAGGTGAAAGTTCCATGGATTAATATCAGGACTATAGGGAGGATACTTTAACACCTCAAAATGAAGTTTTTGCAGAGTATCAACAGTGTGGGCAGAGGTGTGTGGACATGCATTGTCATGCAAGATCACAATGCCCTTGTATAGTAGTCCTCTGCATTTAATCCTAAATTTTAGGCTTCAGCTCTTCAGTGAGCATCTCACTGTAAGGAGTACTGTTGATTGTTGAACATTCTTCCTGATGGTGTTCCAATACTGGCCCTTGAGAACCCCAGAAAACAGTGAGCATCAATTTTCCAGGTTGATTTTTGAACTTTTTCTTTGTCAGACAAAGCAAAGGGCTCACTGAAGAACAGATCATCAGTTACTCATATGCAAGTTGAAGTTAAAACATAAGAAAATTAAAACAAATCCATGAGAGCCATAGTAAGACCTTGAGTACATTCCACTGTAATTTAGAGACCATATCAGTGTATTCAACCTATTTAACACTAGTAACCAAAGAGCCAGTAAGTTATAGCATGTCATCAAGGACATCATACATGAAGAAAGAAAAAGGCTATTTAAAAAGACAGGCATGAAAGAAAAGGCCAAAATGGATGTCAGAAGAGACTCTGAAACTTAATGTAGATTAACTAAAATGAATAGAAGAAATAAAAGAACTGGACAGAGATTTCAAAGGGTGACTTGAGAAGACAAAGTCAAGTATTATAATGAAGTGTTCAAAGACTTAGAATGAAAAAACCTAAAAGGAAGAACATACTTGGCATTTCTCAAGATAAAAGATCTAAGGAAAAATTTAAGCCTTGAGTTGTAAGATTGAAGGATTCTGTGGGCAAAAGACTGAACAATGCAGGAAACATTAAAAGAAGATGGAATGAATATACAGAGTAACTGTACCAAAAAAAAACCACACACACAACTGGTCAGTGTTCAGCAATTTCCAAAGATAGCATATGATCAGGATCTGATGATAGTGAAGGAAGAAGTCCAAACTGAATTTATGACACTGTTTTAAAAACAAAACAAAGCCTCTATGAATTGACAACACAAATTGAAATGTTTCAACAAATTGATGTAGGTGTTCACTTGTCTATGCCAAGAAATTTGGAGGATATCTACCTGGCTAACCAACTAGAAGAGATTCAAATTTGTGCACATCAAAAGAAAGGTAATCCAATATAATGAGGAAATTATAGAACAATATCATTAGTATCACACAAGTGTAAAATTTTACTGAAAATCATTAAAAAATGGTTACAGCAGTACATCAGTGAGGAATTGCCAGAAATTCAACCTGAAGAAGACATGAAACAAGGAATATCATTGATGATGTGAGATGGATTTTAGCTGAAAGCAGAGAATACCAGAAAGATGTTTACTTATATTTTATCGACTGTGTGAATATTAGCAAAGAATAATTAACATTGTGAAGAATGGGTAATCCAGAACACTTACTGTTCTCTTGCACAACCTATACATAAATCAAGAGGCAATTCTTCTAACAGAATAATGGAATGATGTGTGGTTTAAAATCAGGAAAGATATGCCATCAGGATTATACCCTTTCACCATACTTATTCAGCATCATACAGATGCTGAGCAAATAATCTAAGAAACTGGAATTTATGAAGAAGAATTTTAGTATTGGAGGAAGACTCATTAACCTGCCATATGTAGATGACACAACCTTGCTTTCTGAAAGTAAAGAGGACTCAAAGCACTTTGGATGAAGATCAAAGACTACAGTTTCCAATATGGATTATACCATAACATAAAATAAAATAAAACCACACACAAATCCTCTCAACTGTTGTATCTGTTTGAGATACACCTCCATTGGTATTCTGTCAATTCTAGAGCCTTGTTTTTCACCAGTGCCTTCAGTACAGCTTTAGCTTCTTCCTTCAATATCATTGGTTCATTATATGCTACATCCTGAAACAGCTGAATGCTAATACAGTAACTCTATGTATTCCTTCCATCTTATTTCTATGCTTCCTGCATTGTTCAATATTTCCCCCATGTCGTTGTTGTTATTGTTAGGTGCCATCAAGTCGATAACCGACTCATAGTGACCTTATGCACAGCAGAATGAAACACTGCTCAATCATGGGCCAACCCCACTATTGCCATGCTTGAGTCTATCAATGCTGCCACTTGGACAATCCATCTCATTGGGGGTCTTCCTCTTTTTCTCTGACACTCCACCTTACCAAACATGATATCTTTCTCCAGCGACTGCTCCCTCCTGACAATATGTCCAAAGTATGAGACACGAAGTTTGGCTATCTTGGCCTCTAAGGAGCACTCTGGCTGCACTTCTTCCAAAACAGATCTATTGGTTCTT